AAAACCCAGAAGTTATGAATTCTTACTCCATATATTTCAAGTGAAAATTCTGTTGTGTAGTTGATATCTGCTACATTTGTCCTCCCACATCAAGAATGGGATTGAACGTAAGTTGTCAGAATTCAAGGCTGATGGAAGTGCATAGATAGTCAAAGCATTGATGCATGCAGTTAAAAGAAAATCAGGCTTCTGTTCATGCAATATCATGCATACATTTGTGCTATGAATTTTAGAGTGACTTGGAATTTTTAAAGTAAAGCTTGCCTATATTAAAAAGTGGTTATATCTGAACCATAACATATGATTTGCCAATTAAAAAGTTAATTTTTTTTTTTTTTTTTTTTTTTTTTTTTTTTTTTTTTTTTTTTTTTTTTAGTACTATCAATCTAATGTTGTTTTTGGGTTGAACTTGTCATAAATACATTTTTTCTGTGAGCAAATAAACAAGTAATCAAAGCTTTTATTCTGTATACTGGATAAGCTTAAAAGAATATATATTTATAAGGAGGGGATTGATTATTATTTCTTTTATTTGACACTAAGAATAATATATCAAGTACCAGGAATTATTCCCTGTCAATTAGCATTTGATATCTTCTGAAAAAATGCCCATTTACAGAACGTTATACCAAAGGACATTATATGAGTTGCCAGTAAATATGGAAGATAAGGTATTCGTGTTCTAGTATCATGTTATGGTGTATTGTGCTTTTGCATAGATATGTCATGTTACAGTGGTTTAGATCAGTATTGATATGAGCAGTTTACTTGTGTATAGATTTATCTTAACTATATTACTTATTTTACTATGACATACCTTAATCAGTAAGACCTAGATTACTTGTTACCAATTAAGATCGGTGTTTTTTATATTAAAATATTTGAATGTTGTTTGTGACCATTAGTCTGGAGACTAGGCTATGTAATGCAGCCTTGCTTCTGTGAAAAATGTGTGTAAATGTGTGTGTGCGTGTGTGCGTGCGTGCGTGTGTGTGTGTACGAGAAAGAGAGTGTGAGTGAGTGAGAGCAAGAGAGTGTGAGAGAGTGAGTAGAGGGTGAGAGAGAGAGAGAGAGTGTGTGTATGTGTGAGAATGTATGACGGGGAGGGGTTGTTGGATGTGGATATGGGTGTGGATGTATGTGCAGTTGTGCATTTGTGCATGCATGCTCGATGTAATCAAATTTTTTTTTTTTTTATATATATTAAAGAAGGTAAAGTGCATTGTTTCATTAATGTTACATCTATTGATGATCAAAATAAAAGTTTATTGTTTTTATATTTCTATGCATTGTTGAAAAATAGCATTATTTAACAGAGTTGGTTATTTAGACATATGCATTTAGGGTAAACAGTTGATTTTGAAGTATTCCTTATATATATATACGTGGACCATTATACAGTATAGGTGTAGCACAGTCCTTTACCCTTTTAAAGAGTAATTCTGGGTAAGCTTATTGTCAGTAATTTTCCTATCTCATCCACAAATGCTAATGAGAAAGAGAGAAAATCAGGGAAACACACATCAAAAGTATCAACTACCTCATTTATAATGGTTGTGGTCGACTCAAGTGAATGTTCAAATTTTAGGTTTGTAAACTGTTTCTTCACTAAGTTAAAGGTTAAAAGCATTTAGTCAGTTCAGTATATTTCTTGGGTTGACTATTACAAGTTTTAGTGCAAGGTTTTTAATTTACCTGTGCTTCATGATATTCAAATAATTCTTGGGACTGGATGCAACAAAGTCCAATGAGACCAGTTGAGATGCTTGACTAGCAATGTGACACACACAAATTTTATATATAAATATATATATATATATATATATATATATATATATATATATAAAATTTACTTTTATTTATTTTTTTCCATGTTTAACTTATTAATTGGAAGTCTTGTATAGTCTGTTTTCTTATAGGAGGGTATGTCAAATATGTATTTTTGTTGGGAACATGTAGATTGCCATTGAAAGTTGAAATAAGTTCATACATATGAGTTTTAATTGGTAGATCCTGATATATTTTTCTTATAGTTGACTTAGTATGTAATTGGTAAACCATTATTGTAACTTTATGTAAAATTTCCATGTTAACTTTGAAAAAATATATATATTGTCTGACTATTTTGTATTTATCACAAGAAGACTGATTTCACTTAAGTATAGTTGCTTTCCTGAAATGAAGTGTCCACACTGCTAACCTTAAAGAGCAATGATTAATATAGTGCTTGAGTTACTCTTGAGTTATTTCCTTCATTCAACATATCTGGTCTCATTATGTCTGTTGGTTGAGGCAATGTCAAAAATCACGACCTGGAAAGATTTCAAATAGAAACTGCATCATACAAGCTTGTTAGTGGAGAAGGCTTTGTATGAAAGACAAGGTGAAGAAACTGGAAACTGTTTAATAATACTTTTGGTTTTAACTTGAGAATGGGGATGAGAGGAAAGTAATGTTATCTAAACATATATATTAAAAACTCAGATTAGAGTGGAGTTTG